CGCATATTCAATGCATTTTAAAGTGTACTATGAATTTCGAGGTCAGTGTCACACATCACAAAAAGCATGTAAAACGGCATCAGTGGAAATAAAACTTATTAAGCTTCTAAGTCTGATTTCATGAATTCGCATCCATTGAAATGTTCGCTGTTAAACAAGTGTGTTAAACAAGTGTGAACAATAGTGCTGCTTTTGTGGCAAAATCTGGAATCAATCTAGAATAATACTGAAGTAAACTGAGTAATGAACCAAGTTGTTCAATTAGAAAAAGGTGAAAAATGAGTAGGATCAGGAAGGAAACCATGTTTATCAACAAGAAAACCCAAACAGGAAAATTCTGATGTAGAAAAGGTACACTAATCTGCATTAATAGCAACATTATGAATATTAAACCGTTCAAGCAGTAAGCATAGACGCTTATAATGTAGTTCTTTTGTTGGTGCATGCACGATAATGTCATCTTGGTAAGCTGAAACTCCGTCCAAACCAGAAATAAGAGAATTCACAACATTCTCAAATACAGCCAGTGAAACACTAAGGCCAAATGGCAAACAGTTATAACGAAATAAACCAAAGGGTGTGTTAATTGTGATCAATTCACTAGACTTCTCATCAAGACTTCAATTTTGCCGGCCGAACAATCTGATTGGTTCAGGGTTATATTTAAACGCCCGTGATTCCCTTCCCACATGTGATTCGTGTCCAGTGGAATATTGAAAATATATTAAGAGCATTTCCTGAAGAACCGACTTTTGACATGATGGCAGCGCAAACTGGCGCGAAATTCCTAATGATCAAGGGACTGGAGATCCAACCGCCGGTATAACTGATTATGGAGAAAACGGGGCGATTGGCTCAAAAGTGGAGACTGTGGCGAACACAGTATGCAGATTTTCGTGCGCTGACAGAAACGGACCGCGAATTCAGCTCCGCACAATTGGCTTTCTTCCGTCACACTATCGGCCTGACTGCTCCGCTCATCATAAATGGATTCACGCACAGTCCGCATGAGGAAAGTAAAGATTGGCAGGAGGTGATGTCGAAGAAGGAGCGGTACTGTTTTGGTGCATCTGACGAGACTTAGGAACGATTTATTTTCAACCAGCGGAGGCAACAGCATGTCACTGGACCACGCGTGCAATTACGGTGCATGTCTAGAAAGAAGTCTAATGAGGGACCGAATTGTCGAAGACGACGAAAACGAAGAGAGAGAAAGGAGAAATTGTTGAAATTAGTGCACAGAAAGCGCAGCAAAAAAGGCCGACGATCGACAAGACAGCACAATCCCCATCCTGAAACGGACAGATATGACAATGATGATCATGACGAAAAGCTTTCAAAAAAGAAGGATGCGTTGGAAAGCGTTGTTCGAATTGATCGTTTGCTTAACTGCATCAATTGTGTTTTTATGATTGGTCCGTATATGAATTTAGTTTTGCTCG